GAGATGCATAGGCATATAGTGCCCCTACTCTAGGGTAGTCGTTATGGCCTAGAAAAAGAGGGAATGGCCAAACCATTGCTGTGCTTTGTCTGTTTCATGAATTAAAGGCTTCAAATCAAGATTGGATGTATTTTTTAAAAGATATGCACTAATTCCTCCACAAGATACATGGCTCAGTGCAGGAGTGGTGGGTAAATTCCTATAGCCTGTGCTAGTATGAAGGTCAGACCAGACCATCATATTGGTCCCTTCTGACCTTAAAAATCTATGAATAGTGTCCTGTCAAAACATGTACAGTATTCTTAACATTGGTGGAAGTTATGTCTGCACACAGAGAGGACACAGAGAGAAACTATTTAAATGCTTTTTTGAAAGGGTGAACATATGCTGAACGCTGGGAAGATGCCCTTATTTCAGCATTCCTTTACTTTCTTTTGTCATTATGTTAGTTTGCTATTTGCTTTTGTTTTAATTCAACTTCCTTCCGATCTATTTTGAATCCTTACATGTTTGAGATCAATTGCACAGTTTCAGGATACTGAAGGGTTAGCCTACTTCTTTATGGGGTTAAGTCACACTCAGGTGAGTCCAAAAGCAATAGTTCCTTCTAGGTTGTCTCAACATGGCTCTTGTCATTCTAGTAGTAAACTGATGCCCCGACTTAAACTTACAAAACCAAGGAAGTTCAGAATTAAGACTGATACTGCCATGTTTTTTTGTCCCATTGAGCCCAATTATTACAAATACACAGCATGTAGCATCTCTCATTAAAGAAGTGATATAAAGATGGGATATCTGGCCTGGTTTTCAGTTTTCAATCAGTTTCCTTCTCTATTACCTTACATCTTGTGTAGTCATTTACAATATGCAAAGTGAGAGTGCCATGTGTGTAAAATGGAGTGACAGTGTTTTTTCAAGGTGCAAGCCAATGGAGAATTAGGCTGTATAGTGCATTCTATATACTTGTCAACACAACCAATGCATTGTAGAAAAATTTCTAATAAAGGCTGTAACAGCATGAAGTTAGATAATACCTTTATTTTGCCTTTACATTTCAAGAAAGAAAACTTGCGTCGTGATTAAAATAAGATAGTCATGCTGACCGTTTCAAATTTCTGTTTTTGTATATTTTTTCCCCTTTCATTATTCATACTAATCTCAAACCCTTTCTTTTCAAGAGAATCCTCATAGATATGAGTATCTGAGAAAGCAGGACAAAACAGAGAAGAAACAATAAAACATGAAAAGGATAAGTGCTCTTCATTCAGAAAAATCAAGAAGTCATAGTAAAAAGGTCAAAACTTCAAATGTTTCAGTCAAATTCCTTGACTATACAAACATTTAGAAATGCAAAAACCACTTCAAGGAATAATCATCATGAGAAATGAATTAGGATAAAAAAAAACAGGGGCTAAAACTGATTTTATGATAAAAGATCATTAAACCTTTTCTCAGACTGCATTTTTGGAATAAAAAAGTGTAGAGATTTAGCTAAATAATGCAGATGGGTGAAATTTCAGAAGCAGTTGGCTTTACCATGAGACAGCAATTTAGAACAATGAACAGCCTGTCAATTCTCCTTATTCACTTGGTTTTAGAAAGTGGCTAGTGCCGCCTATTATGGAGGCACCTTAAACTGATCTTTACCACATAATATCAACAAACCCAAGCCAGACAGTTAGATTAGCAGCAAAACACCATCTGTTCATATTAATACATATAATCGAAGTCTAACACATTCACGGTAACATATTCAGGGATTATTTTTTCTTTGTTCACACTTTGCCTTTGTCTGAGAAACATAAATGGAGTTCTGAACTACTGTGTGCCTGGCTCAGAGCTCCTCTGAACACTCACAAGAGACAATGAATCAATGTGGAATACTATGGCAATCAAATATTAGGTGAAGCTATCGCTGCCCTTCCCACTTGTACTTTCACCAAGAAGAATGAATGGGTTGCCTTAACAAGCTTCGATCTTCCAAGAGCACAGCATCTGAGTGAATTTCTAAATCAAGGTTGGCTGAAAATAACCTTATCTAGACTGCGTCAAATGATTGGTATTGGTTTGAGACAACTGGCGAATAGGAGACAAATGATTAGTAGTACTATATGAATGTTCTAGTTTGACAGCTTATACAGTTGCCATTAAGTTCATTACTGTTCAGTCACATTGGTATCTTCCAGATGTGACTGTCCTCTTCATTCATTGCAAGAACAGAGAAAGCAAGACAGATAAGAGTAAAAACACCTCTAATGAATTGTCCCCAGGTTGAGAATGCATGCTCTCCTTTCCGAATGTCTAGGGCAGCTCATACAGCAAGCTCCTGAATGGTACATTAAGATCTGCTTCTGGTGTTCCTCTCCTAGCAAATTCCTGATAGAGAAGTGAGTCGTTGATTGACCACAGTCCACAAGTGTGCCTCAGGCTTGTATCTCTTGGCGAATTTTTCTTTGACACCCGCCATGAAGGAGAGCTACAAAATTAAGATCTTGGAGCAGAATCACTTTCTCTATATCAATAGATTGGACTAATCTAACAGTGACTCTGATTTAGTAGATGGATATATATGTACACATGAACATTTGTTTAAATCTTTAAAAAAAAAAAGTCTGGGTGAGTTACCTGAATTGGGCAGGCCAATTATGACTACTTAGCCTGTGATGCACATGAATCTTCAGGAGCGGAAGGGGATTGTAAGAAGGTGCACTTTTTTATTTTATTCGATTTAAATATATAATTAAGAAGTACCTAATCTGATGCATTTTGGGAAAATATTAAATACAATCCATAGAAGCCAGCACGTCCAGCAACTTATTCCCCACACAATCAAAATTAGCCAGACAAAATAAATCAATCATTCTACTCAAAAACATCAACCCTTACTGAACTCCCCTCCAGTTAGATAGTTTAAGCATTCTTATTTCTGATAGAGAGAGGTCCAGCATATGGCTTGATAGACATTTTCATTCACAATTTTCTCTCTTTCACCCAGGCAAGATGTGTGTGTGAACAAGGAGGAGGAACAAGAAATGATGCACATTTTTCTACTCTTCATTTGGTATTTGTGACGGTGTGCCCCATAAGGTTTTATGGAAATATGCTTATGAATGTATATATGACATAACTAGAATATGTTTTTTGCTACATATGCCATGTAACATATCTATGTACAGGTCTATTCTACTGAGTCTATTAATCCTATTTGTATACATTATCATTTTTGTACTTGAAGTTAGGAATATCAGCTGTATACTTGCTTGATAGCCTTAGTAAAGCATTTGGTCAGCTTCTTGAGAAAGGGGTGTGCAAATTAAGTGCCCCATCAAGAACCATTTAGGCCAACAATGAACTCGAAGATGCCAATCCACATCGGAGCCTTCCCAGGAATGTGGCTTGGCAGGTAAGACACTCAGTCATGCATGGACATGTGACTTGCCCATGTAACTCCAAAACTCCATCTTGGAGCTGGACTTTGCATAGGAGAGAGGAGGGGGTCTCCACCCACAAGAGAAAGTCTACTTAAACCCCTGGGAGACTCCTCCATTTGGTCTTCAGCTGGCTAAAGAGACAGTCTCTCCACCCCCAAGACTACCCGAAAGAGACTGGAACAAAGGACAGTAACTACAGGGGGTGTGAGTGATTGCTGGACCCAGATTAGAAGGAGACTAGTCTGTAAAAGGAAACTTACTGGAACTGGTGAGGTTTTTATCTGTACTCAGTTGTCTTACTGTATTAGACTCAGTCTTGCGTGTTCTATTTTAATTTACTTGGTAATTTACTTTGTTCTGTCTGTTACTACTTGGAACCACTTAAACCCTACTTTCGGTATTTAATAAAATTACTTTTTACTTATTAATTAACCCAGAGTATGTATTAATATCTGGGGAAAAGGGGGGGGGGAAACAGCTGTGCATCTCTCTCTATCAGTGTTATAGAGGGCGAACAATTTATGAGTTTACCCTGTATAAGCTTTATACAGGGTAAAACGGATTTATTTGGGGTTTAGACCCCATTGGGAGTTGGGCATCTGAGTGTTAAAGACAGGAACACTTCTGTAACTTGCTTTCAGTGAAGTCTGCAGCTTTAGGGCACGTGTTTCAGACCGTGGGTCTGTGTTGGAGCAGACTGGCGTGTCTGGCTCAGCAAGACAGAGTGCTGGGGTCCTAAGCTGCCAGGGCAGGAAAGCAGGGGCAGAAGTAACCTTGGCACATCAGTTGGCAGGTCCCAAGGAGGTTTCTGTGATCCAACCCATCACAGTATTATCCCCTTTTTCTTTGTAAATCACCACATCCATATTTTATGTTTTCAAAAGAACTGGTCTTACTGCATTATTTATCACAGGAATTTATCCACAGAAGAAGCTATTATTATGTGTTTTTATAGTACCTAGTGCATTTGGGTTCTAACCTGGTTGTTGCTTTTAGACATTACCACAATGTAAATATTAAACAATAGTAAGATATACATGGAATTTAAAATTAAAATCTAATTGCACTCAAGAAATTATTTCCTTATTAGGCAAAATTTAAATTTTTAGTTGTTATTCCTGATTTTCATTGTTTATCCTTTATTTTAAGTGCTGTGTCCTAGATTTATTAGGCTTTTGGCAACTTGAAAGGTTCTTATTTTTCCAGTTAGAGAAGATCTTCTGTTGAATGTATTTTACATTTCGATATTGCTGGTATAAAGCGTGAATGCAGGTGCCTTGCATAATCCTCCTTTTATACCATTCTTCAGAATTGGCATATACAATCAAACATGAAAAATTATTTTTGGTTTACATAATAAGGGGTTGGGAGGAAGAGGAAAATTTTAATAGCACTGGCTGATTTACCACATTTCATGAACTTGATTATAAAGGAAAAAAGACTTAAAAGCGCAAGTTCCTTAGTGACAGTTACATAAGGAGATTAAAGAACATTTCTGACTGGATTCTTTCCTCAGATCATAATAAGAGGGCTTGTTGCAGCAGTATGACCAAGAATGTGTTTTCTTACCTGAAGCCCAACACTGTCTGCTTGTCCACCTTTAATTAGTTGGGAGATAAAGAGGCCACAAGTAAATTCCAGTCCTCCTCGCACACTTATTCCAAGCCCTTCAGGATGCAAACGATCCAGTCTCACTTCCTTCAGCTTTCTGTAAACGTATTAATGTATCATAATGAACAACATCATAACAAGTTGTGACAACTGAAGCTTCATTTTAAGCATTTTTAGTTACTGCTTAAAATATTTTCAGCTGTCAAGCTTAGACTTGAAAAGAGAATATGTGACTAATAATTTCAACAGACACATTTCAGTCCAAACAATAAATTTAGTCCCCAAAGAACTACATCTAAGACAACTTCAGTGTCTGTGATAGCATGCACAGGATATAGATATTTTATTCATCAAAACGTGGCTGAATAAATTACTTTTCAATCAAGAATTCCTGCTTGTGTTCATTTGACCTACATTGTTCTACACTAGTGGGTCTCAAACTTTTTTACTGGCAACCCCTTTCACACAGCAAGACTCTGAGTGCAACCCACCTAATAAATTAAACACACTTTTAAATATATTTAACACCATTATAAATGCTGGAGGCAAACGGGGTTTGGGGTGGAGGCTGACAGCTCATGACCCCCCATGTAATAACCTCTCGACCCCCTGAGGGGTCCCGACCCCCAGTTTGAGAACCCCTGTTCTACACGTACCTTGATCGTTTAGGCGTCAGCTGATCATATTCCACCTGATGTTTTAATGGGATAAGGGGACGGATGGCGTCAAACAGCGGCAATCTACTTGGTTCATTAATCACAAGCTTTAGGTCCCCTACCAGTACTGGGAGATTCATGGATCTATAAAAATACATTGAGAAAACAGGACTGGGTGATCAAAATACTAACAAGATTATACTTTCTGTTTGTAACTCATACTAAAACTGGATTGTGTGTGTGTGTGTGTGTGAGAGAGAGAGAGATTTGTTTAAAAGGTTCTTTATGTAGTTCAAGTCCAATCATAAGCAAAGGATATATTTTTCCTATATCATTTAAAAATAAAACTAGCGTAAAGATATTTTTCTAATTCAAGTAAACTCATGTCCACATTGTCTATGTAATTCTTTAATCCACAAATGATTTGTCAATACTGTAAGGAAGACATCTTTATTTAGTTTTATGCTCAGAAATACCAACAGTAGACCTATGTAAATCTTTGGTCATGACATTCAAAAGCAGGTAAATTTTTTCACCAGGTTTTAGATTTTATTTCAAGTCTGAAACTCTGCCGACATTTGCAAACCTTTTTAGTGAACCTGGGCCATGTTTTCAGCAAACTTCTTCTCTCCATGGATTCAGGAGATAGATGTATAGTTGCAATCCCCAAAAGCCACATGGAACAGAGTGGTTGCAGCGAAGTATGTTTGAATTTCCAGCTCATTTGAACTCAAAACAAAGTGAAATTCAGTGGTGGTGAAATCACATAAACCAACTATACAAATACAGTTGGAACCAGCATGAACAGAAAACTGCTTATTTTCTTTGAGTTCTACCTAAAAGTCCTTATTACTAACTTTATCAATTTTGAGACATAGTCATAGGGCCAGATTATGTTGTCATGTCAAACCAGTGTGAATCTGGAACAATTCCATTGGCTTGAATGGAGCACAATAGACAACAGAACTTGGCCCATATCTGCCTATTCACTGTAAGGTATCGATCATCACAGCATTTAGGTACCCTGCATATTACTTTTTTTGATGTGCATGTAACCCATTAATATTAATAGAAACTAATACACATCATAATGAGATTATATCCCCAAATATTTAAACTTATTTAAAAAGAGGATTCAGCGTAAAACAAATCCTAGCTGTTGGCCACAATATGTATTTATCTTACCTTTTTTGCTACTGTACTTCCTAAGAAATAAAAAAGTTAAGATCATTCAATAAACCTCAATAGCAGCATTTGATAGTTTACTTAAAACTCAGTACAATTTCTGAACTTGTGGGGAAAAGTTAATGTGTGGGATATTTGTTAATTTTGTAACTAAGGAAGTTTTAAATAATTAACAGCTACAGTTTCATACTGGTTTCACAAGCAACAGGCAATGCTTTATGAATGGAGAAGCAATTAGACAGACCTCAGTGAAACTGAATCGGATACGCAGCTGAGGCCATACAAAACGGTAGCTCAGTACAAAGACCACATGGAAATTTGGAAACTTCTACATTTCACTCCACTGAGATGCTATTAATTAAGATATGAATGGAAACAATGTCCATCAGAACTATTCAGCTATGAAGTGTGGAAAAAATATTCTCATCTTCTTTTAGAAACAGTGGCCCAGATGCCGATCTCAGTTGCACTGACGTTAATGCACAGTAATTCCATTGATTTACACAGGTGTAACTGGAATGAATAATTGACCTGATATCTTGTAACTGATGTTTTTGTCGTTTTGTTATAGAAAAACAAAACGCTGCAATGCGCAGGGCAAAGATTTCCAGGTTGAATTTATTAATAGTCTTTCTGCTAAAACAGTCCAAAGTATTTTTGCATGTTGGAGAGATTTATAAAAAGAGTGAATCTAAAAATCAAATAAAATAAGCAAACTGACTGGTCAAACAATTTTGCTCTTTCCTATAAAAAATGTTCATTATTGTTTCCTATTATAAACTACAAGTTTCCATTTATTTATGTAACTGGTAAGTCATCACAAACAAAATAACTTTATGATCAAACTTAAAACCATGCTCATTTCTTATGTACTGAATTGCAGAAGTATATGACTTTTTAAAATAAAACTATGAATTATTACTTCAGCTAGTTTTCTACAGACTACATTTAAGATTATTGTTTCAATTAGATTTTAGCTGTTTAACCTTTAAATAAAAAATGCAGTGAATCTATAACTGCTTTTAAAAGTCTGGAGTTAGAGCTTACTGGTGGTACATCCGTAGCACATCATAAAGGTAATCCTTCTCCGCTTCATTGTCAATAAGCAAGTCAACCTGAAAATACAAGAACATCATTGTAATTCTATTACTAAATAGCCACAAATGTTGAAAGTATAAGACATTCACAAATTCCTGAGCAAAGGGACAATGATTTCAATGGGAAAAGTCATCCAATACACAAATTAGATCTTTGAAAGGCAATATTACTTCAGAATTTGAAACCTAAGGCAACGCAGATTTTTTTTAAAAAAATACTAACGGATTGACTACCATGTCCAAAATTTGTCACCACAGATTTTGAAAGCTAGCATTCCATTTAGTACAGCATGCTGTAATATCACAAGCTTATCTTACCTTATAACGACTGTATTGTTGAATAAATATTTTAAGAAACCTTTTTGGCCATTCATTAATATAGCACATGCTTTCACAACCAGAAATATCACAATCAAGATAACTATACTATATGTTAAGTGGCTTTAAAGTTCTGATTTTCGCATCTCTCATATACTGTTAGGTAAACTACCCACTAGCCTAGATTCTTCCTCTTGGCTCTGGTACTCTGACAGAGCTGGCTGCTTGCTATTCATTACTTCCTCACTCTGTAACAGTGCATTCACTTAAACTAGTGTCAGATTACAAGGCTTCCACTTTGCTACCTGCACTAAAATAAATTTTAAAAAAAGTTCAGATCTGTCACATGCCAATTTCTGCCTTCTGTGAGACCCATGAAAACCCACTGGCCTCCGTTGCAACAGCAGATTACATCACAGAAATTTTGCTTTTAGACAAGATTAATGTTTATGAAAACATAATTTACATCTAAGGTAAAGTTACTGTGACAAAAAGTCCATGGACAAATGTGAATGTTTAAGCATATTCCTTTTATTCTAGGTTTACAGTATCTTTGCATTACATTTTAAGTTAAATGAATGCTTCACATTGCATTATAAATCTCTTCCTGCCCTCCAAAACCAGCATGATTCCATATATAATTGATTACCTGTGACTTTCCCCCCCTGCAACGAAACACTTACTGCACAATTAAAAGTTAGACACTTATGCACAGGGCAAGATTGTTTGACTGATAGTATAAATGAGCAAATTGCAACAGTGAACTTCAGAATCCAGGAAAGAAAATGTGTGTAAAAATCTAATAATATGGTTGCACTCATAACTTGGTGATATACAATGAGCCAAATTCTCCATTGATCAACAGACCTCCAAGGGTTTTCACATTGGGTGTAAATACAACACAAAATCTGGTACAATGGATCTAAGCACTGCTTCTAGCTAAGGTGCCACAGAAGGGTGCTTAAGAGTCTTGAGAAATAGGTCCAAACCACTAATAAATTCTCCCCACAGACCTCAGACCCAAAACAGCAACCCTTCTCCCTGTGTGACTGGAGGACAGAACCTATAAAAATGGTACACCACTTACACATGCTGTGCATCAAGGGTAGGCTTGGAAAGATTGTTAGTAAATGTCAATTTCATTGTACACACAAACTGAAGAAAATATATTTCCAGGGACAATCATAGAAATTTACAGATAGGCAAAGAAAGAAAAATGCTGGTTACTAGAGTTTGATTTAAAGATATTTATTTTGTATATTTTGACTTGCGGTGTTGAGTTTTCCTAGTTTTCAGTAGTGGGAGGGAAGAACACAGTGTCTAAATCTTGCTGTTTCTTCTAACACAACATACAGCCTTTTCTCTCTGTCCATTCCACCAAAATTCTCATCAAAACCTTCATCATTTCATTGACTTGATGACCACTACCTCCTCCTCTCTGGCCTTGACAAAGGCACGCTTGACAAAAAGGTACTCCAGTCCATTCAAAATGCTGCTTCTAGGATCATTTTCTTGGCCTGTTGCTCTGACTGTGTCCTATGACCCCTCCCCATCTACAACCCTCCACTGGCTTTCACTTTTGCACTGAAAACATACACCACTTTTTCTTCATCTTTTCATGGCTGGGGCCTGCCCTACCTTAATGATCCATTCTGGCCTTCAATCTATGAAACTCTACCTATAAACTCTAAACCCTCCCAACAATACCAGCCTGTAGTGCCTGCTCATCAAATTTTCCCCTCCAACACCTTTGTGCTCTGTCACATACTACTTCTTATGCATGGAAGAAACTCCCCATAAAAATCTGCAAAGCCACCCCTGGTATCATCTTTAAAATTTCTCTCTCCTGTGATATCTACAAAACACTTGATGAAAACTAGGCAGCTTGTGTGCTTCAACTGCAGTGTTTTCCATTCAACATTACCATTTTTCAGCAGCTTTGTCTCCCCTACTCATTGGACTGTTGTATCCATCTGTTGTCTCTTGTCTTTTTGCTTACGTTGTAAGCTCTTTGTAACAGCCATGGTCACTTTGCCTATCACAATGGGTCCCTGTTAGGGACTCTTCCCAGAATGGATTTAGCCTAATAACACAAAATATCAGCATTTTATACCAATCTAATCCTTGAGAAATAAAAACATGGAAGACACTTGAGAGGAGGAATAGGGATATACCGTTCCATAGATTTTAAGGCCAGAAGGATCCACTATGATCATCTACTCTGACTTCCTGCATAACACAGGCAATATAATTTCACCCAGAGATTCCTGCATCAAACCCATAACTTCTGGTTGAGCTACAGCATTTTGATTTTTTTTTTAAAGAAAAATCCAAGACTTCAAGCGATGAAGAATTCACCACAGCCATTAAGTAAGGTGTTGCAATGGTTAATTACTCTCATTCTTAAAAATCTGTTCCTTATTTCTCATCTGAACTTGTCTAGCTTCAGCTTCTGTCCGTTGGCTCTTGTTATGTCTTTGTCTGTTAACTTAAAGAGCCCTCTACTGACAGAAACCTCTTCCTCATGTAGGTATTATAAACTATGATGAAGCCTCCACCCTAACAGTCTCTTTGATAAGCTAAAGAGATTGACCTTTAGCCTCCCGCTATACACACACTTTTTCCAGAATTCAAATAATTCCTTTAATTCTTTTCTGAATCCTTTCCAATTGGTCAATATTCTTTTTAAAAAGTGTGGACACCACAACTGGGCATGGCATTCCACGAACGGTGTCCCTGATGCTATATCCAGTGGTAATAACACTTCCCACTTTTCTACTTGATATTCCCCTGATTATATGTCCAAGGATAGCATCTGCTCTCTTATAGCCACCACATTGCATTACAAGCTCATATTCAGCTGGTTACCCACCATAACCTTTATTCATTTTCTGAGTCACTGCTTTGAAAAATAAAGTCCTCTAACATGTGACCTAAATTTTAGGTTCCTAGATATTTGACCTAGCATTAGCTGTATTAAAAACATGTGTTGTTCAAGTAAATCCAGTTTACCACGTGATCTAGACCAGTGGTTCTCAAACTAGGGTCCGCGCCGCTTCCTACAGCCCCCATTGGCCTGGAGTGGCGAACCACGGCCAGTGGGAGCCACGATCGGCCAAACCTGTGGACGCGGATGGTAAACAAACCGGCCCGACCCGCCAGGGGTTTTCCCTGAACAAGCGGCGGCCCTAGTTTGAGAACCACCGATCTAGACCTCTCTGCAGAACTGAGCTGCCTCCTCCACCAAGTTTTGTCATCTGCAAACTTTACCAGCAATGATTTGAGGTTTTCTTCTAGATTATTGATAAATATATTGAATAGCATTGGGCCAAGAACAGATTCTGACTAGAAATGACCCCACTGGATGATGATTCCCCATTTCCTTTAATTTCTTATGATTTGTTATATGAAACATTGTCATTTATATGGGTTAATAGACCTTATGGGCCACATTCTAATCTCACTTAACCCAGTTTTACACTGTTGAAACTCTGCTGATTTACGGTAATGATTAACATCAGTGTGAGTGAGATAAATCAGATCTTTTGGTTTATTGTGCACCAGATGGCAAGATATTGTATATTTTGACTGATTCCAATAGATTATACTTCAACTGCATTAATATGGGTAATAAAGAGATGCTTGAATGCTAAAGGTGATGCAGAATCAAAAGAAAACAGCAACTATTTTTCTGACTTGCCCAGTACTACAAAAATTAAGGAAAACTGTAGTTCTGCTGTTGGTTCTTTAAATGTCAGACTATTGTGGATGGTTGATTGTTTTTCGCTTAGGTACAGCATATCTGCTCTAAAATCTGTTAAGAACATTAAAATAGATTATTTGCTTTTATTTGTTGCTGTAAAACAACATTTTATTGCAAACAAAAACAGACATAAGAAGCAGCAAAAGACAACATCAGCCTTAAAAGAAAAAAACTTTTAGGAAAAGATCCCACTCACACACTTAAGGCTACACTGTCTGGCCATACAGATTTTGCTACATACAGTTTTTAATCTTTTTACTACCCTAATTCCCACACATCATGTTTTCACTGACAGTCATGGATTTTGCATGGTCACAAAGAATCTCCTTCTACTTCAATGGAGAAAGAAACACACTACATGTTCATCTTCCTCAGTACAGTGTTCAACTCAGACTTCCCCCGCAATCACACAACACAGACTGCATACTTGTGCACATATATCTACCCTGC